GATATATATTTAAAAAAAATTTTTTTTTAATGTTTGTTTATTTTTGACAGAGAGGGAGACAGAGCATGGGCGGGGGAGGGGCGGAGAGAGAGGGAGACACAAAATCCGAAGCAGGTTCCAGGCTCCGAGCTGTCAGCACAGAGCCCGACACGGGGCTCGAACTCACAAACCGTGAGGTCATGACCTGAGCCGAAGTCAGTCGCTCAACCGACTGAGCCACCCAGGCGCCCCTATTTGATATTTATATGTATATTTTACATACTTGGTTTACATACATACATTTATACAAACATACACATCTATAAAAATGATGTGTATGTTTGAGTCTTATCATAGGGAAAAGTGGGTTTTTGTTTGTTCAGTGTTATCATATATTCAGGCATATCATCTGAGCACCTACTGCGTACTGGGCCCCGGGTGGGGCGCATGGCACCTCTGCTCTCCTGGAATTCTCAGTCCACCATGGGGGACAGAGAGGAAGCCAGCCGCCATGAAATGATGCTCTGATGTACCCTGGGACAGGTGCCGCAGAAGGGAAGAAGCATGAGGTCAGTGGAAGGGATGAGCCTGGTGTGGGCTTGAACGAATTTCCCCAAGGATGGCGTGTCTGGGTTAAGACCTGAGAGGTGGTGTTACGGGTCCCCTCCCACCAAAAAGATGCTGAAGTACAAACCCAGTATCTCAGAGCGTGACCTTATTTGGAAATAGAGTCTCAGACAATGAGGATGGACCCTCGTCCAGTAACTGGTGTCCTTATAAAAGGGGGAAACGCCAACACAGAGACGCGCCCACGGGGAGGACGCTGGGGAGATGCATCTACAGACCACGGAGTCCAACACGTGGCCTGCAAATCTGCAGCAGCTGGGAGACCAGCTGGAACAGGTTCCCCTTCGCAGCCCTCAAAAGGAACCGACCCGGCCAATGCCCTGATCTCGGACATCTGACCTCTGAACCGTGAGACAGTACATTTCTGGAGTCGAGCCGCTCAGTCTGTGGCACCTCACTGCCGCAGCCCTAGTAGGTACGCACGCGGGGAAAGGACAGCCAGAGTGGCTGCCGTGGTGGAAGAGCAGAAGGGGGTCAGCAGGGACTGACCCTCTGGCCACCCTCAACAGTGGGGGTCTCGTAGTATCTTATGGGGTTGCAGCGAGAACGCGACGAGATGCATGGCGCGTACGTTCACTGAAGGAGCACCCGGAGCACCAGGCAGCCAAGACATGGCACCCGCTCTCCAGAAGAACGAGAAAAGTGACCGAATGACGGTAGGGGCCAGGTCTAGTCAGGAAGGCCCATCTGACGAGGTGGCATCAGACTAAGCTTCCCGGAGACAGCCCTGAGATTGGGGGCGGGGGTGGGGGAGTTCTCCGGGCACTAGAGAACCCCCGGAAAGGCCCTGAGGTTGGCCTAGCCTTGGCAAGCATGAGGTGCAGCAGAGGCCAGTGGAGTGGAGAAGGGAGGGGGCGAGCGGGAGGATGGGAGGGCAGAGGAGGGAGGAAGCCAACCGAGCAGGGTCTGCGCAGGAGTTTCGGCGAAGCACATGCCGCAGCCAGTGCCTGGTAGTTGTGTGCTTGGTCAACGGAGCCCTCGTCATCCAGCCCGGGGGTGGAGGTGAGCGGAGGGTCAGAGCCTAGACTCCCGCGTGTCCCTGGCTGTGAGTGATGCGTGTGAACTGGACTCTCGGTGTGAGTTGCCCAGGCTCTCCTGCGGACATCTGCAGGGTCACGTTTCTGTCTTCCTGACACCTGTCTCCTTCTGAGCTCTGCGTCATCCACACATTTGAATGGTCCACCCAGGTCATGAAAGACTTTACAAAGAACTGGGGGAGGAGGGCAGATCCCCCCACACCCAATGGAAGAGGAGCCTTGGACCACTTCTGTCCCTTACCAGCTGAGTGACTCGGGACCTCAGTTGCCTTATCTGTAAAATGGGGTGAATGGCAGGTCTGCCTTACAGAGCTGTTGTGAGGACTCAGGGAACTAATTCACGTACAGGAGCTTAGAACCGAGACTGGCACACAGTGAGCACTCAGTAAATGTGAGGTATCGTCTTCTAACTTAAAACAGAAATCCTTCCCTAACGCATACTCTTCTGTTCTCTTCTGCTCTACAGTAGAGCAAAATGCCTCAAATGAGCTGAGCACACAGTTTCCTCCCATTCCACCCTACCCTTCTCTCCTGCACCCTGGGGGACCTCCATGAGGCTCAAAGCGATGCCCAGCTCACAGCCCATCATGCCCAGGCTCCTCACCCGGGCTCCTCCGCATACTCTCTGCACACTGAGGACTCTCTGGCCCCGCCCTGCACTCCCCCTTCCTCTCTACCCACACTCCCGGCCTTGGGGTATGCCTCCAGCCTCGTGCCCCTGTGAGACGACACCCAAATTTCCCCCTCCAGCCTGACTTCTCCCTTCAGCTCCAGACTCCTTACCCCGCCTCCTCCTTGATGTCTTCTGTGCTTCGTGAACGTAACCTGCCCGGGACTCTCCCCCAGCCAAGCCTGCTCCTCAGCTCAGCCCTCACCTCAAGGCAAGCCTGCCCTTCCGGCTACAGGACCTAGAGTCTTCTTCAACCTCGCCCTTCCTCTTAACCCTCGTCCGGTCTGCCAGGCAACCCTGGCGGCTCTCCTTTCAGCTCATCCATCCAGAAGCCACCCTCTCTCCCTTCTCAGCCTCCATCCTGCTCAGCCTTCCCCAAACCCCGTCTCCTGCATAGCAGCTCCTTGAAGGCTGTGCCCCTTGGGCAGCCAAGGGGCCCTGTGAACACCCAACTAAGGGAATCTCTGTCCACAGAGATGGTGCGGGACTGGCACAGCATCCTGCTGAATGAGTGAGTGAGGTGTCCCCTCCTTCCCCACCCAGAGACGCCTGGCTTGGCTCTTGTAGAACCTTGCTGGGCGTCCAGGCACTTACTTCTTTGGGTCAGTGAAGGGGAGTGGCCGTGGCGGGGGCTCGTCTGCCCTCTTCCACCCTGTGGGGTGCTTATTGCGAATGGGTTGCTTGGAGAAGAAGGACTTGGGGACGGAGGTGGACAGCTGGAAGGGGCTGGGCTGGGTCACCTGGGAGGGCCGAGGGGTCTCTGTGCTGGCGGTTTTGTAAACCTGAGCAGGGTAGCCGGCCCTGGAGCTCACGTCACTGCAAAGTAAAAACAAGAGAAATAAGCAATCAAATATGTTCCCCATTATGCAGAACTGATCTGTTTAAATGTACTCTTGGGAAACAAAAAAATTCCTTTGCACAAGAGGTATACAAATACATCGCTGCTGTGGAAAGTTCCAATACAGAAATCTATATAGGGAGAAGGCCAAGTTGCCTAGGAGG